ATATATATATATATATATATATATATATATATATATATTATAATAAAGGGAGCAGCATCTTGGTTCCAGACCAACAAGATAATTGCAGCCAGTCAAATCCTCTGACGCTAAAGCGATAGAAAACCTATAGGGTGAATCCATGCATCCTGTTTCTGAAACAAAACAAAGAAGGGGAATTGAGAAATCTGGTCCAGTCACGTCCTTGGCTGGACTACCTGAATCCCTTGTCCAAGCAGACGTGAAGGCAACTGTGCAAGAGATCATGCAAGGCATTGGGAATGAGGCAACAGGAGGACAAAATGGGAAAACCTAGTTTAATTGAAAGACCAAAACTAAGATTTAGAAAGCCAAGCCACAACACATTGAATTCCTCTTCCAGGTGATTATGAAATGCATCCAAGTTCAAATATATTGTACAAAGATTAGTCCTGCACTTGGAGAAGGACGATGTCAGTGGAGCCATGACCAATGCCTTAAGACACGGGTGTCAACATCCAGTCCTCGAGGGCCGGCGTCCTGCAACTTTTAGATATGCCTCTGCTGCACCACACCTGAATAGAATAATTAGGTCATTAGCAAGGCTCTGGAGAACTGATCTACACAAGGAGGAGGTAATTAAGCCATTTCTTTCCTGTGTTTTGTACCTGTGGCACATTGAAAAACTGCAGGACAGAGTCCACACACACACACACACACATGTGGGGACTGGAGTTTGACACCCCTGCCTTAAGACAATCACTGAAGCCACCAGCACAGGACTTGAGTGGGCAAACTAATTCCATCCCTCCAAGAACACAACCAATTTAGTTGTATATTTCACAGCTAATTTCTTGACCAAGGTCTTAAAGACTTTAGGCATAAAGAGTTTAACCATCCACAGGATCGCCAAAGCAGCAGACAGGGTCTCAACCCTTGGCTGTGTCTCAAGAGATGACAATTGTTGAGTCATGGTAGCAAGCTAACCATTGAGACACAAGCTCCATAATCCTGTCCTCATCACCTCAGTATGACGATCGAAAACACCCAATGATTCCAAGAACATTGTTGTCAAAATGCATCAAAAAATGTATTGCCAAAAGTTGGTGAACTTCACGCAGAAGCAGCAATACCTGACTCAAAGGGAAGTTAAACTTTGTGTGTGTGTGTGTGTGTGTGTGTGCGTGCGTGCGTGTGTGTGTGTGTGTGTGTGTGTGTGTGCGTGTGTGTGTGTGGATTGGTAGAAAAAAATATATATATTCTTTTGAAAAGTACCACTGTTAATAAAATAGAAAAAATGCATGCATACACCAAATAAAAAACATTATGCTTCGACAAGTAAAAGCAATGCATTTGCAACTGAGAAAATAAAAACTATTCTCTTTCAAACATATGCTGCCAGCTGTCTGAACATAACAGACTAAACAGTGACCTGTAGTGTTTTACAAGCTGTCCTTCAATGAAATGCATAAAAAATTATTTCTACACATTGTCTGCCTCTAAGCTTTAGCATCAGGAGACTTTGACCAAATAGCTGCACAATCATTTCTGATGTGTGAAACAAGCTTTGTTGAATCCATTAAATCTTTAAATTATTCTGTGCTGCTGGCAACAATTGGCCTTATTCTATTTTATTTTTCAGATATCATCCCATCGCTCCCTTATCAAACGGTTCTGGAGGCTGACAGCAGTTATCTTACCGCTTCCTAATATGTACTAAGCCTTTCCTGCTGCAGCAAAGTTTTTTTTATCTCCATTTATGGCATCCTACTGTCATTTAAGACATTAAATATGAAGCAAGAAAAATGTAACCAGGTAGGAAAGTTTTGCTGGGTCAGCTGGTCGTCTTATCCCCACAATTCCTTTTTATCTGCTGATAAGACATCAAAGAAACCACTTTGGAATTTCAGTAGAAAGTGTTTTCCAGGTCTGAAATGTGCTGACAATGAATGATAGTATTTACAGAAGGTCAGTTTCATAGTTACTCTACCTAAATAGGTTTGCACATAAAAACAGAACTCTCATCCGAGTTGGGTTATTTTTACTCCAATTCTCAGGTCACTGAAGTTGCTGAATTTTTTGTAGAACTAAATTAGACACACATACCATTCATGAAAGCCTCCATTCAGCACATTTAGCCTCATTGAATTGGAGAAGCTGTTCTTCTCTGCCAAAGGGCTTCTGTTTATTTGGGAGCTTTAACTCCCAAATCACCCTCCCCCTCACCAAAAAAAGGAAAGGGAAAAGCAAGATTTTTATAGTGTAGAATAACAACTAACCAACATTGTCTCATTTTTTTTTTTCATTGTTGAAAACTTTTAATAAATTATGTTCAAGTCAAGCACAGAATCGAGATCGAAAACGTAAAAGAGAAAATGTGAGACTTTTTTTCTTTGCAAAGACAGGGAAAGAAGAAGGAGGTAAGGTAGGACTGCACAATATCACAAATATGTCATTATCAAACCATCAATATATGCAACATTCATCAAGCAAAAGTGCTGCTTAGAGTGCAATGTTTGTGGCTCGTAATATAGCAAGTAAAGCTCCTGAATATATTGATTTGTATATTTCCTTACAATATTATTAAGTGCAATATTGTAATTGCAAAGGATAGTTTTGGATGGAATATTTGGTTGGTATATTTCAAGTACGAGGCTTTTAAACTGCACATTGATAATATATTTGGCCATTTGGATCAGTGCCCACAAAGAATACCTTCAGTAGTAGAGATACCGAAGCTTATGAAGAGTTGTGGGACCAGTGAATAATAGCAAAGAAAGAAAATAATACAGTATTAACAGGAATTAGAGGCCATGGCTACCTACAAATAGCTAAATTGTGCAAATACTTGAGAAAGAGCAGAGAGAAGAAAATTTTATACATGTAATAATTATATTGGCATTACATAATCAGTCAGCATTGCACAGCCATAGGAACAAAGTCCTCTGAAAAAAAAAAATATTGTGAATGCTACAAAATACTTGAGACAAGGCAGGAGGTCAACTGTTGAAAAGGAGAACAGCTTCGCCATGCAGCCAGAGGTACAAGGAAATACCCATGTGAAACTGCCCCAGTCAAAGTCCAGACCTAAATCCAACTCAGAATCTACCCAAAGGCTTGAAAATTTATGCTCACAGATGCTTTCGAGCCAGTCTAACTCACCTTCAACTATTTTCACAAAGAACAAATGGCATAAAAATCTATATATAGTTTCCAACGATTCAAAGTTGCTAAAAACTTACTTCAAAAGTCTTGTAGCCAAATATTGTTCCACAAAGTTTTGATTCAGAGGGGCTAGATGGAAGAGTGCCATACATCAGGTTTTTTGTTAAGAATTTAGAAACATTTAATTTTAACTTAAGTCTGATAAGGTTATAAACATTTGACTACTGGATTGTTGGGCAGCAACTGTCACCCTGAAGGACATTAATGCAATCACATCATGCACCATCACATTTATGATATAAAATATGATAAAACTGAGCCACTAAACAGTCAGTACCCATTATAACTTGAATGACCAGCAGCTTTATACATGAGACCTTCATATGACATTAATCATCCCTGTTGAGTGTGAAACATACATTATAGTGTGACATAAAAAATCTCAGAATTTTGATTCTGTGCAGATCCTTTCCAGCAAACAACAATTTGTAAACAAGAGATTCAGACACAAGTCAACGGTTCAGTCACATTCATAACACTAAAGCAGAACATTCAGGTTTGGTTGAGGCTTGTAGAGGGCAGACATTTAGAATTTCTTTCTGAAGTACTCCAGTTCAAATGTCCAAGTGTCCTTAGAGATTGTAGAAGACAAAATATCTGTCAGAGTAACATGTGTGGCTGGATAAAATAACCTAAATATGTCTACTCCCACTTTTGTCCAGCAGAAGGAGGAGAACAGACCTCACAATGACTGAATGCTCCTTAAGAGTATTCACAGCATTCCACCACTTCCACAAATATCTCAGATGTGATCATCAGCTAACTCCAGATCCATATAAAACACATGGATCAGTTAATTAAAAGTCCATGAGCCTCTTAGCAACTCCGTAAAGGTAAAGAGCTTAACTTTCGTTCGAAAGCATGTTGCCTACAACTGTTATCCAGCCCTCCTCTGTATTCCTTGTCCATCACAGGCCAGCATAGAGAAACCCAGGACCGACAGCAATGAACGGTCCTGGGTTCATTAAGGGCAAGTTAGAGAGACCAATTCATTACAATATCACTTTGTGCAATATTAATATCTCAAAAAACTTCTTAGAATGCAACAATTATTGGCTGTCACTTTCTAAGTGCCATGAATTCCCACCTTGCAGGCCAGTAAGACATTCAGCCTGTTGCATATATTCCCACTGCACCTGATAGAGGATAATGTGAAAGGGTTCAAAGAGTGAGGAAACATATGAGTTAGATAGAAACTATTTTTGCTGTGCAGTGATGGTTTGTTTTGGAAAACTAGAGAAAAATTAGGATGTTACAAGCGACGACTTCCTGAGCTATTGCAATACTTTTAACCCCGTGCCTAAGTTAAGCGTGTTCCTTAATTTTAATATTCAATAGTAATGCTTTTATATCTGTCTTACAGTTCTTCAGTGAATGAAGGTTTGCTATTTCCTGTAACCAGTAAACGTACCACACTGTTTTACGTTTTTGACAACTTCCTGAAGTCGCTGTTATTGTAACTTCTGTGACGTCTGGCTCCGGGTGAACTACGTGGCTCCGCCGCTTAACCTGGACGTAAAACTGACGTTTAAACGCAGATAGAAACACGCTTCGTGTTTTTTTTTTTTTTTTTTTGTTTGTTTGTCTTTTTAATCAAAACAATAGTCACAGTGGAGGAATGAAGTAAAAGTTCCTGCAGTTCAGACGCTCAGAGCAGCAGGGGAAGGAGAACCGGGGGGAGATAGTGTTGCGCTGAATCTCTGCCTCATACATGTGAAGTGTTACAACGGTCAACCGTTCACGCCTTTACACAAACGGGCGAGAGAACAGTAGGCAGCCGAAGCCGAACGGTGCCGTACCTGAATCGCAGGGATGCCGCCCGGACCGTCCACCGAGTCGGGCGAGTTGTCGAACACTCGGTCCCTGTACAGCGACCATAGACCGACGTTAGGGAGGAATAAGAGAGCCACTATGAGCAGCCCGGCGAACTGCAGCAGCCTCTTTTCCTTCCGCCTCATGTCTCTTCTGGGAGAAGGAAAAAACAACAAGCGTCTGAAGCGACGAGCCCCCGAACCTCGCTTCTTTTCCCGAAGCGCAGACAAGTTTCACTCCGAGTGTTGGAACGGACACCGGCTTATGTGACGCTGTTGAATCTCAGAGTTCCGCCGCCAGGGGGCGCTCAGCTTTTTAAAGCAAAACTGGGGGAGGAAGCAAAAACCGGACACGACTAATGTTTACTTAAGGTTGTTTTTGAACTTGATTGGGAAAACGTTATGTTACGCAATTATAAACACAACAGCAAACCAATTTACATATTGACATTTTATTTTCTATCTTCACAGCAACTATAAATATGAGTGTAATAAAATTGATCATTTACCAGGATTAATCATTTCAATCCAACTTTTTTAGTGTAAAAATGCACTATAGATTCCACCCTGCCATTGTCTATTAAACTAAAATGAAGCCAATGTGATGCTGTTTAATCCAGTGCATTGGATTAACTGATCACTCGCAAGTGACCAGTGCTATAAAATCAAGAAATTAGAAAGAGTAGAGGAATAGAATAGAATGAAACTTTATTCATTTCTCTGGGATTTACTCTCTGGGAAATTGTAGTTCAGTCTCCCACACAGCACCAATACATCAAATACTTAAACTTTGTTTTTTGACATTCTATGGTCACTCCGTTTTATTGTACTCCAGTAAGGAGTTGAAGAGTTTCATTGCACAAGGGACAAAGGAGTCCCTTAGTCTGCTGGTCCTGCACTTTAGAAGAAGCCAATTCAATGCCAGGAAAGCATTGAATCTCCTTTCCTGGCTGCTGATGGCAGTGTGCAGAGGGTGGCTGGTGTTGTCTATAATAGCCTCAAGTTTAGATTATTATTTTACTTATCATAATCTAATCTCAAGTTTTAGACTACGTTGTTTACTGCTTTGGATCATTGATTCCCAGTGCCAAGATGGAAATACATCAGCCATCACCTCCATTCAGTTTTATAGTTACAATTAATTATCCATTTTGTTTTCCATTTGTGAACTTGTTTAAGACTTATTAAAATGTGTATTTCTGAGAATCTTGACATCTTCAGACCCATTTAATAAAGTAGAATATTTTTGAACAATCCTATATTTTGGAACCTTAAGTGGAAGACATTATACAAATTACACACCAGTAGATGTTTGAAAGTGTTTATTTCTGTAAGTTTTAATGATTTCACATACTGCTAACGAAAGTAAAACATTTAAGATCAAAATTATATATATATATATATATATATATATATATATATATATATATATATATATATATATATATATATATATATATATATATATATATATATATATATATAAACATTTTAAATCCAAAATGTGACCTCATGCCCTGTGACAGACTGGCGACCTGTCCAGGGTGAACTGGAGATAGGCACCAGCACCTCCCGACCCCATTAGGGAGAAGGGTGCTCAGAAAATGGATGGATGGATGGATGAATGGACATGTGACCTCAATGAAAAGTGTTTCAATACCTGCATAAAGGTTTCTGTTTTTCCCAAGATACTTTAAGCCTGACAAATGAGCCTAATTGGAACATGCATTCTAATTTATTGATTATGACCATGTGTGTTAAAACAATGCCAAGGTTTAAAGAAATAGCCAATGACCTTAGAAGGTTAGCAATTTCAACCTTTCAATCAGAAAAAGACAATAAGTCCATTTCCAAACTATGTGAAGTCCATCATTTTCCTAAGAGAATGATTATTTAAAAGTGGGAAACATTTAAGGTAGTTGCCAATCTTCCCAAATATGGTACATCAACCCAGACCTTTCAAAGAAACCTTCAACATGGAGGAGCTGTGGACTCTGAGCAGCCTCTGTATATTCATTAACGTATTCTAGAATGAAATGCGAGGTCATGATATGGCAGCTGAACTTTTTTCCAAACACTGGTCATCAAATAATGATCCCATAAACAACAGCAAAGCTACCACAGAAGGGGTGAAAAAGGTTTTGCAGTAGATCTGGAACGTCTACAATCCAGAATTCTTTTCCGCTCAATCTGCTGAATTAAAACTCCGGAGTACCTCTCCACAAAATTGCTGGTCATTTATGTTTTCAGTTTTTCCCCTTCCTTTTTATGTAAATCTGCCAATTGTTTCTGATCTAATGGCAAGTAAAGAAGCTCTATGGAACAATTTGTGTTTAAACTCAGTTTTGATGTTTAGCTCAGAGCAGTTATTCAATAAAAAAAAAGATAATTCCTGCATTTGTTACTGCATTTACATTTAAAACAATTTTGTTGATTCTTCATCATTTTTCATCAGTTGTTAAGACTTTGTGTCACTCGCAGCTTCAGAGCCTCAGGTTTTACGTTCCATCAACATTTTTCTCTTGCATGTACCATGTGTTCAAACAGAAAAAAGGGAAGCAAGCATGCAGTGTGACAGCTCTGATCAACATGGAATAAGCTCCAGCCTGAAATAAAGATGTCGGATCTTATTTCATTGGACTTTTTTTCCCCGAGAGTTTCTTAAAAACATGCAATGCAATTCAATCCATTAGTGAATTGCTTTTAAACAGATTTTTACAATTTGTATAAAATTTTGCTCATGCTTTTATTTGTTTTACTTTTGTGTGTTTCAGACCTCTGAATACACAAATAATTGTGAAAACATAATTATTTGTGTATTCAGCTGCATATCAAGTCAATCTTGATCAGAATCTCAAAGGGTTTTACTTGATTAAGTAAAGGAAATAAAAATTTTTTGAAAAAGATAATGGATGCCTGTACTAGACTCTTAAAAATCCAGTTTGTGGTTGAACTTTGCTTAATGAATTTCTGGAAAACACCATAAAATGTTTTAAGAAAAGTGCACCAAAATTTCTCCAGGATTTTTTGAGACATAAAGTCAGACATGAAATGGCTATTGAGAGTTATTTATGAAAAAAAACAAAAAAAATAACAACAACAAAAAAAAAACTTTTGAATAATATAGTGCCGCATCCTGTATTACTCATAAGGTTATTATTCTGGCTTTATCTGTGTTTATTAAATAGCCTAAAAGCCTTCAAGGCTCAAATGTGAGGCAAGGCTGGATATCCATTCACATAAATCCCCCCAAAACTGCTTTGCATAAATAAAGTACAACTGAGGTAACAAAAAACAAACTCAAACAAGGATTTGGCTAATGCCATCTTGTAATCTGTGATATTATATACTGGTCTTAATGACTTGAAACATTGAAACCTTGTGAAATATGAGCAAACAAACCAAGGGAAATGGAAGAAACTAAAGAAGAGGCTTTGCTAAATACAGCTGGTCATCAACCAACTGAATGTGGAGACAAGTTATCATATAATCAGACAGTTTTGTTGATCTAAAAAACAATCTTCCATCAAATAAATATAGCGAATCAAAAATGGGAAAAATCAACATTTCTTGCAGAAGTTTCATGCCTGGAAATCCAGCAAACACCTCCACAGATGAACATTATCTCAGAGGTTCAGTTTTCACTTCATTTAATCAATTGTTTGTGTATTCAGCTGCATATCAACTCTGATGAAGCATGAAATTCAGATTACACACATCAAAATACACAATGACTATCCCGAGAATGTTTCGACTGCTTAAATTAAAATCTCACATCAATTGAAAGCCGTTGGACACCAAAACAGAAAGATAATTTACTGAAGTAGTGTTGTTTAAAACATCATCATATGTTCATCCATACCCTGCATCTTCATATACTTGGACAGCTGAGACTGTAGACGAAAGAGCAAAGACAAGTGTGTGTGTGTGAGAAAAATCCCAGAACCTGCCAACAAAATTTTCTGAAGACACAAGAAATACTTTTACCTTCAGCTTGTGTCAGTGTCCCTACACATTAAGACAAGTCTGGAAAACATGGAATTTTATTTCTATATTTCATGGATCGAAATTGGTATGAAAACAGAAGATGAGTATGAGAGAGGTTAGTCCCACACAACTATCCAAACATTCTCGTTAGTATCTGTTCTTTGTTTTCATTCTTTGTTATAAACTTTGAGTCTTTCCATCATTCCTCCTCCATTTCTTGTCCTTCTTTCCATTTGTTCTATCCTTTCTAATGCCCTAAATTCAGAAATTGTGATTTTTTTAAAATTTTATTTATTTTATGTAAAATTGAAATTTAAGACTGTGGACTCTGGAAAACTCAGTCTGGAAAATAATGGAATTTCTATCTGAGAAACATCTTGTACGTGAGTGAAGGATGAAAATCAAATCAAATCCACCATCTTCTCATCAGTGAGAGCTTTTGGGGTTGATCTGAAGTATTCAAAGGAAACAAATGATGTGCCGCCATCACAGGTGTGTTTATTACATCTCTTTCCTAATGGTGATGTAAATAACTGTCTATTACACACACAGCTGCTGTTTCAGTGGACATAAAAAGACTAAATGTTACTGCTTCTGCAAGCGTTTAAACATTCAATCTTTTAGCTGCTGTTATAGTTGTTAGCAGACCCATTGATTCATTTTACTGCCTTTGTCTGTCTTCTGAGAATCGTGATTGCGTCAGCCTGTGTTGGTGTGAGCTGGACTGTGAGGCTGTACATCCATCCTGGAGTCCAAGATTTAGATAAATAAATGTATTTTGCAAAATACATCTTTTTCGCATCAGATGAGTCACGTGATCTGTAACCAAAGCCGACAATTACAAGAAGTAGGAAGATATATATATATATATTTTTTTTTTTGGACAATGTGCAGCTGATTCCATCACAGCTCTCACAGCATCACCAACTACAATTTCCCCAAAATGATACACACATGTAACTGCTCCAAATTACAATGGGCTTGTCGCACCACCGCCAAGATCTCCACTGATGGTTGATGATGAGCTCTACCATGGCTGAAATATGAATATGTCTCATGTAACTGCTCATGAAATAAGTCATTGACTTTTAATGACTTATCTGTGAACAACCTTGTTCTGGTGTGACTTAATTTAATTTCTTATTTGATGGAAACACCATTATTGTGAATTTGTGTTTTTTTTTTTAACATCAGCAGTATATCAGCAACAATTTGCTCACATATGTAATGAAATTAAGTAAACAATTTTACAACTGATGGTAAAATCCGTTCCCAACAGTTGTTATAATTGTTATAGCTGTTATAACTCTTTATAACAATTTTTCCTAACTTTTAAA